CTCCAGGAAGCTGCAACAATTCTGTAGTGCGATCCCCCCCCACAACTCCCGAGAGTCCCCAAAGGCACCTCCCAGCTGCGCGAGGGGGGCCTCGAACAGAGCCCAGACAACACTACAAGCCGTGCCTTTGTCCTCGGTGCCCTCCTAATTTTCCTCCTTCGTCTCACCGCCGTCTTTCTCTATTTCATCCTTGCCCTCCATCTTCCGTATTCTCCGAATATCAAAATGAGAAGGCTAACATCGACCATCCGCGTCGTCACTCCAGAATTATCTCGCTTCATGCGCGACGCGCAACATATTTCAGTGCTCACTCCCGACAAGCGCCCGATCAGTGAGCACCATGCGCGGAATAGCGACTGCGCAGCGGCCACTCCCCCCACGCAAGCAGACACTTGAAGGCATCCCATGCGCGCGACGGCGTCCAAGAAACAGACAGCAAGCGCCTAGGAAACTCTGACGAGGCTTCAAGGCGCCCGCCAAGACACCCACAAGGCCTCACTTCATCTGGGTGTCGGCGGAATGGCGTAAGCCTCTTGGCTAACTGACCGCGGTCAAAACAATCTCACACGCCAGCTACCTTTAACTGACGGTCAGTTAAAGGTAACCCACCCGGCGGGTTAAGGGTAACTCGGCTTCCGCCCCGCCCCCCACCCCGTCCTCCGCCACACCCAGGAGTTTCCTTGGTCCGACGTTCAGCTGAAAGTAATTCTCGGTTACCTTTAATTGGCGGTTGATGAGGTAGCTCATCCGGCTGGTTAGGGGTAGCTCGACCTCCGCCCCGCCCCCCACCCCGTCCTTCGCCCCACATGGGAGTTTCTTTCACTGGCGTTCTGCCAACTATAGCTGACAGTGGGTTCCCTTAAAAAGACTGTGGGCTACCTTTAACTGACCTTCTGTGAATAACCAGACGGTCAGTTACCTCTAAGTGCCGGGCCAGTTACCTTGAACTGACGGACAATGAAAGGTAAGTGAGAATCAGGTACCCTTTTTACTGACGGCCTGTCAAATGTATCTCACCCCGCGGGTTACAAACAATTCGGCCTCCACCGCGCCCCCCAACCGTTCCACCGCCCCACCCAGGAGTTACCTTGAACTGAAGTCCTGGTAAAGTAACTCACGGGCAATGAACGGTAACGGACGGCCAATTTAAATGAACTACCTTTAACTGGCAGTCAATTGAAAGTAGCTGACCGCGGTCAGTTTGAGGAAGCGGGCGGTCTGTTCAAAGTAACTGGTTGTCAGTTACCTTCAACTGACCGTCAAAGTATGTGACGGTCACTTCCCTTTAACTGCTGGGAGAGTTACCTTTTAACCTGCCATCAGTTAGGAGTACCTGACGGCCAATTACTTGTTACTGAGAGTCTCGACGTGAGTTACCTTGGACTGACGGTGCGTTACATTTAACAGACGGTCAATCAGGGTTAATTCACCCGGCGGGTTCAAGGTAACTCGGCCTCTGCCCCGCCCCCCACCGCTCGGGAGTTACCGTGGACTGACGCTCAAGCACAAATAACTACCCTCGGTCGGTTAAAAGGTAATCGACGGTCAGTTCAAGGTGAACGACCGCGGTCGGTTAAAGGTAATTGACGGTCAGCTCAAGGTAACAGACCGTGGTCAATCAAATGAACCCCGCAGACAGTTACCTTGAAGATCGATTATCCCTCTCTGGATCGATGATCTTTCTCAAACTCGAACCCTTGAGCCAAAGGCTTCAAGCGCAGACTCCGTGACACACCTGCTGCTGCATTTCGGGCGTGCCCATCCGCTATTGATCTGAGGCACACGACCCTGGGAAATCAACACTCCTCCTCTCGGCCGGAGCTCGGGTTGATCCGAGAGCCGGTCGAGCCACCTGTCGTGCCCGGTCTTTTCCAGGCCCCGCCAGGCGGGATGCAAAACAGTCCAGCACGGCAAGAACGTTGCCTTGCCAACCAAATTCTCGCACAAGACTCATGAGCTAGCAGCCAGGTCACAACTCCAGCTGCAACCGAATCCTCGAGCGACCAGAACCCATCCACTTCTGGTAGTGGAGCGTGGCGATCCCGGTCATCTCGATGAGAAGATAAGGCCTGCCGCTCCGCAGTGCTTATCCAGAAGAACTCCGCTCACTGGCTTCGTCGCCAGGTCGGCCAGGTTCCTGGACGCGTGAACCTTCACCACCTTCAGGTCCTTGTCCTGCACCCGCTCCTGGACCCACAGGAACCTCGTCTGGATGTGCTTGGTCCTCTGCCCAACACCCAGACGGTCGGCCAGGCTCCCGGCGGTGGTGCTGTCGCTCAGCACCCGAGCCTCCATGTTGTCGCCGAAGTCCTCGTAGATGGACCTCAGCATCAGCGCCACTGCAGCCCCCTTGACCACTGCGTAGAACTCCGCCTCACCCACGCTGAGAGAAGTGAGGCTCTGCAGGGTACTGCTGCCCTTGATGGGGTGCGACCCCACCATGGCCACCAAGCCCGTCGTCGACTTCCGGCTGATGGGGTCCCCCGCGAAGTCGCTGTCCACGTACACCTCGATCTTGTCCACCGGCGCCTGCATCCGATACCGGATCGAAGCCCTCGGTCGACCTGCTAAGTAGCGAGCGACCCTCTTAAGCGGCTGCCAGTCGAACTCCGTCGGACCAGCCATCCGCTGAGCCGCACTCTTCGCGCTCTCCACCAGGTCCAGCCGGTCCTGCGCCAGGTAGCTGAGCCTCATGCACACCGACCTGTAGCGAGTGACCTCGCTCGCGACCAGCTTCTTGCCCTTGATGCCCTCGAGGACCGTCGCGTCCTTGATCTTCTCCCTGGGCGTGTTGACGGCCTTCGTGGATTCCGCGCAGCCCGTCTCCGCCAGGATCATCTTCGCATGCCTCGGGTCGGGCTCGATCTCGAGGTATTCTCCTCTAGCATCTCGGCCTCTCCTCACGATCCTGTTCAGCAGCTGCAAGCTGTCGTTGTCGCCGTCGTCGAAGCCCACGGTGCCCATCAGCTTGCTCGGGTACTTCGACGCCAGCAGCCTGTCGACGTGGTTCAGCCCGTCGTCGTCCGAGAGCACGACGAAGTCGTCCCCATGGACAGCCATGCTGATGTCCGCCGTCGGGTTGAAGAACAGCGCCGCGTTATGCTTGCCCCTCTTGAAGCCGCCTTCACTCGAGCAACACAGCTCCACGTAGTCCAGCTGCCAAAGATGTGAGGCGTCCTGGGTGCCGTACATCGACTTCACCAGGCGGCCGAGCATCTTCTCTCCGTAGCGCTGGCGATCTTCGGCTGGAAGCCTGATGTACACCAGCCGCTGAGCCTTGCCCATGAAGTGCGCCCTGGAGATGTCATAGTGCCTCAACTTCAGGCGCTTGCCTGACTTGGACACGCCTCCCGTCATCATCTTGGACATCAAGATCTTCACAGCCTCCAGCGGCGGCATCGCCGAGAACAGCTGCGCCGCCGGTAGAGCCCTCTGGACCTTGCCATCCTTCTTCGTCTTGTACTCGCGCACGCACAGCCTGGATCTCACCTTCTGCTCGTTCGGGTCCATGGACTTGTCCGTGTCGACCCATAGAACATCCAGTGGTCGTACTCCTGCTTCTTGAGCCTCTTGTTCCGGAACGATGTCGTAGACCTTCTCGCCGTGGATCCAGTCCATCTCCTCCTGGCGCGCCGCCAAGACCTTCTCGGTCGGAAGGAAACCGCCGTTGACATCATCCCAGAAGCCTCCGCCTTTCTCGAGCATCTCCTTGTACTCGATCGGGATCTCGGGAACCGGTCCCGCGATCTCGTCAACTGCATTGAGCTCTCCATCCTTCCTCAGCTGCCTTCGCAGCGCCCTCAGCACCGCACTGACGAACTTCGGAGGGTACTTCGCCGCGAAGTGAGCCACTCCGCCCTTGAGCTCGGTGTGCCGGTGAAGCTCTCCTCCAACCAGGTTGGAGCACTTGCCATTCAGCTCATGCCAGATCTCCTCGCTGTTCGTGATGAAGCCCGTCTCCTTCCTCACGTACTCCGGGACGCCGTCACTCTCGTCCCGGTACTTCTCCGGCAGCTGAAGCCCGTACCGACACATCGGGCCCTGCGCGTAGTAGACGCCCTCTCGGGACATCAACTCCTCCATGCCTTGCTCCTTCCATGAAGTAGCTGTGGCCGGGTGTTCATGCAGGAAGTACCTTCCGGCATCGTACTGCTTGTTGTACGCCTCGATCGCGACCCGCAGCCCTTCACGTCCATCTCGAAGCCTCCGCTCCCGGACCTTCTCGTCCGTGGTCAGCCTATTCAGGTACTGCAGCTGGCTGAACGGGTCGCACCTCGGGCTCCCCGTGAGCAGCCAGGGTTCATCCTTCTCGATGATCCTGTTGAGCTCTTCCTGGTCATCCTTCCTCAGCAGATCCCAGCCGACTCCGTCACTCGGTCGGCACGTAGAGAGATCCACTGCCACGCCAGGCCTGAGCCCATGCCTCCTCGCCGCCTCCGTGAACCTCGGGGGCGAGAAGATCTCCATCACGTCCACTGCTCCCAGATCAGCTTCCTCGTCCTCTGTGCCCTTCTCGGTGAAGTCCAGCGCCTTCAACGCCGCGAGCTCCTCCTTCAGCTCGCCCAACTCCCTGAGGTCGAGGTCCCCCATCTCATCGTGCCTGTACCAGTTCAGGAGCTCCTGCATGTACCTCGAGTCCTGGCCCCTCATGGGCTCCAGCAAGTCCAGGGCCGTGATGGGTACATCCGCATCGACATGTCCAGCCCCAGAAACTCTAGGTACGGCTCCCTCAGCTGGTCCCGCGCCCGCGCCAGAACTGGCCTCAGCCCCCGACCCAGGAGCCGCCGCCGGCGCCACAGGTGCTGCCGGCCCCGCTGAGCTCGAGGAACCTCCCACCAAACGCACTCCTCTGACCTCTACGCTGGGTGACCTGCGCCGCTCCTTCGTCGCAGGCTCTCCTCCTCCTTCACCTGGGATCTTGACCCCTCTCGGGGTGGCCGATCTGGCTCTCGTACTTGGGCGCTCCCCTTGTGGGTCTCCTGCCGCCCTCTTGGCCTCAATCACCTCTTGCGGTACTCGAAGCGTCTCTCTTGGCACTCCTCGTGCTTCTTGTCTTTCTCCGGCAACGCGTCCGTCGCCTTCCTCATCAGCGCGCATCTGTTCATCTCCTCCTCCTGTCGGCGCCGGCGGCGCCGCTGGTTCCGCTGCAGCCTCTCTTGCTGGTCCTGCCGGGTGTGCTGCCACCCGCTGCCTGTAGGCTTCCATCCTCGCGCGCCCTTCCAGGCTCCTCTCCAGCAACTCTCGGATCCTCTCTCGGCACTCGTCACTGTGTGCCCTCTTCGCTTTGCCATGTATGGCGATCGACTCACATCCCGGGCAGAGAGGCGTCGCTCCATGAGCCTCGATGTCTGCCGTGAGGACGTAGAACCTCCTTGGCGCCACCTCCGGCGCCCTCTCCACCCCTGGTGGGTTTGGCAGGGGCTCTCCCTTGCCATCCTTGTCCGCTGTCACCTTCTTCTCCAGCTTGGTCTCCTTGGCCAGCATCTCCCAGGGCGTCCCACACAGATCGCCCCAGCCAGCTCTATCCCAAGCATCTTCTAGAGCCTGCCTCGTCCAGGACTTGCCGCGAACCACTCCTTTGCCAGTCATGCACAACGTCGCACCAGTCCGATCGTGATGGCCAACGAACCTCCCCTGGGTCATCCTGCTGGCATAGCTGCTGCCTCCATCCTCTCCGATGCGTCGGAACCAGACCTTCTCACCGAACTGTGCTAGCGGCTTGCGCCACCGGCGACCAGTCCTTCGCATCTCCGCCGTCTTGCCGTCGGTCCCGATCCTCATCTTGCTAATCGCCTGCGCCGCATACCGGGGCAGCCAGCTCAGGATTGGGTGGTCGTCCTCAACTCTCTCTCCTCTCTTCAGTTCCATAGCGACACGTATCGTTCGGCACATCCTTTTGACCTCCCTCACCGCCGCCTCTACCAGACCGTTCGCTCGATGGTCTCCCTCGGGCGGTCCTTGAGGTAGGATCTCGACTCCGACGACGCTCTCCTCAATCTTCTTCTGCAGCGCCTTGGTGGCGGGCTCGTTGTCGCACTTGAGGATCAGCCTACGGTAGCCCAAGTCGCGAATCAGCCCCACCATGAACGCAACCGCGTAGGCGTTCACGCCCTTTGCCTCCACGCACGTCGCCGCCGTATGCTTGAACCTGGTCTCCCGAACCACCAGGATCGGATACGTGTCCGCGCCCTCTTGCGTCATGAAGCCGTAGTCGAAGGCCACAATCGGTACCACGTTCTCGCCGAACTCCGGATCCAACTCGAACTCTCTCCGATGTTGTGCTCCCAATCCTCGTCCTTCGCAACAAGCCTTGCACCAGGCTCGGAAAACTGCGTGAGCCTGATCCTCATGTTCCTGAACCTCCTTCGCCGACGGCATCCGGGGGTGTCGTCGACGAGGCACCTCTTGTGCTTCAGCTCCCTGTGCTTCAGCTCCTTGATCGTCCTCGCCCGTCTCCTCCTGGGCGAGACCCTCTGGCGGAATCTCACCGCCGCCCGGTACAGCCTCCGCCGCTGATGGGCCCGGGTCTCCCATCACGGCGTCCTCGAACGGACTTACGGGCGCTCTGGCGCCCTGCCCGAGCCGTTTCCCGAACTCGAGCCCCCCGTGACGACCTCCTTCTTCCTCTCGACGGTGGTCGCCGAGATCTCCCTCTGCATGTAGAAATTGTACACCTGGTCCTCCAAGTACAGAGGGATCAACTCGTCCGTGCCGTACCAGCTGACGCACCTCTCGATGGACCTGTCGATCTCGCGGCCTATGTCCGAGTCCTTCGGGATGATCCAGCCGCCGTCCGCCGTCATGTAGAAGTTCTGCCCGCCATTCGTCGCCATCTTGCCTGCAGAACACAGCACCTTGTGAACGCCGCTGAGCCTGCCCTTCAAGGATCTCCACCGGCCGTTCTCGTCATAGCCGAGGAACTCCCAAGGGCCCCCGTCTGGAATGCACTCGCCGCTTGCCGTCTTGTAGAGGCTGCCGTTGCCCGTGCTCTCCGGCCCGAACTCCAATGGGAACGAGGTCACCCCAGCTCCCGAGTCCAGGTTCATCTTGACCCACTCGTACTTGCTGTCCTCGATCGCGCCGATGTCCTTCGGCACCTCCGGCTTCCACTCCTCGAGACTGCCTAAGGTCAACGCTCCCATCGACCAAACACCTTCTCCTGACCAGCCTCCTTCGTCCCAACCTTGATCTTCCTGCCAAGGCGCCGGCGGTGGCGGCCACGCCTCTCCTCCTGCCTTAGGATCGTCATCAAGACCACTGGCGTGGGGGCGACTGTGCTGCGTGCTCTTGCTCTTGCCGCCCTTGTCGCCCTTCTTACCCTTGCTCTTGCCTTGGGCTTTGCCGTCACCCTTTCCGCCTCCTTGGCCTCCTCCTTTGGACGATGGGCTAGAGCCTCCTCCGCCCCAACGTCCTCGTCCTTTGCCTTTGGAGTCCCTGCTCTGGCCAGTCTTGCCCTTCTTGCAGTCCTTCGCGAAGTGGTTGCCTCCGCAGTTGTAGCATCCTCCCTTCGGACCTTTCTTGCCGCCCTTGAGCGAGTTGAGGCTCAGCGCCGAGGTGTCCATCGCGTCTGGGTCAGTGCTCATGTTGTCGCTCGGCTTCTTGTCCCTGATGCGAAGCCCCGTCTTGGCCTCCACGTATGTGACGACCTCGAGCCTCGCCTGATCATACGTCTGCAGCCTGTTCGCATTCATGATCAAGTGCTTCTCCAGCTCCTCAGGCACCAGCGCTTCGAACCCTGCGAGCTTCAGCTCGTCGTCCATGGCGTGGTTCACCTTCTTCTCATACCTGGAGACGTAGTTCTCCCACCGCTCGATCGACGCCTGCAGGTCGTCAATGCGGCACCTCCCTGGATTCAGGATCGTCCGAAGGAGGTTCCTCTTGCGGCCTCCCGTGGCTGGGTCAAACCTCTTCTGGAGCCGCCGCCACGCCTCGTACGGGTTCTTCTTAGAATTCTTCACGATGTTCAGCGACTCACCCTCCGTCAGCTGGATCAGCGCCGTGAACAGCTGATGCGTGATCGCCTCCAGCTGCTCGACCCTGCGCTCAGGGTCGTCCTGGAGCTCCCCGAACTCGTCCCTGACCGCGTCCAGCTCGACCTCTCCTCCTTGGTCCGCGCTCCACTCCAGAAGCCGCTCCGCCTCCGGGAACACCCCGCTGAAGAACGACTCCACCTTCTGGGACCAGTTCTGGAAATCGTCCTCCTTGTTGCTGAAGACCTTCGGCCTCCCTAGGCCCCTGGTGTCGACCAGCGTCGGTCGAGATCTGTCCGCCTGGGCCCTGGCGAGCTCCCTGATGGCGGCCACCGCGTCCGCCATGCCGCCCTGCTGGGCCGCGCCCTGTTGGACCGCCTGCAACTGCTGAGTCAGCTGCAGGACCTGCGCCTGAAGTTGCTGGATGACCTGCTCCATCTCTGCTCCCTTCTGCTAGAACTCCACGTTCCTCGTCTCTGGTGTGGACGTGCTCGCGAGAGTGCTCGGGGCCGTGCCGATCACGCCCTTCTTCCCCTCGCAGCCCGCAGCGCGCCAGGAGGCCAGCTTCACGCTACCATGAAGATCGATTATCCCTCTCTGGATCGATGATCTTTCTCAAACTCGAACCCTTGAGCCAAAGGCTTCAAGCGCAGACTCCGTGACACACCTGCTGCTGCATTTCGGGCGTGCCCATCCGCTATTGATCTGAGGCACACGACCCTGGGAAATCAACATACCTTTAACAGACAGTCAGTTAAATATAACTGACGGCCACTTAAACGTAACTGACGGTGAACTGCCTGTAACTAGCCGCCAGTTAAAGAGAACAAGCGTCAATTACCCTCAACCATCGGGTGAGTTACAAGGTAGCTGGCCACGGCCTGAAGGTAATTCGCCGTCAGTGAGCTTTTACTGACCAACAGTTACACGCAACTGGAGGTGTGGTTCCACATGCTGTCTGGTGAATTCCCGAACCTGCCCTGCCCGGAGGACAGCAAGGCCAAGGCGAAGCTGGAATATCTTATCCTGGTGGACTGAAGACCCGAGAGGACTGGGAGAAGGCCAGGCTGGAGCGTCTCGTGGCCAAGCTGGTGAGCTCCACGCTCAAGTCCTGGAACCTGGGCTGGCGGTGGTGAGCCCGCCTCTGTCGCGCGTCGTGCGCCTCGCACGCCCCGGGCAGAACGACGCGGGCACCATCCAGCAGTATCCCAGCGCGGTCAAGGCTCAGCACCTGGCCCCGGGCTTCACGAGCTCGACGGCGGGCGCGGGGAGGCCTTGGATGGCGATCGAGGTGGCCTCCGAAAGCGCCTCGGGGCTCCGAAGAGAAAGCAGCCCGTGACCCCGAGGACGACGAGGCGGATTACGAAGAAGCCGCAGCCAGAGACGTCCCGAGAGGGTGCAGACCTGTGGGCGGCGGTGGCGACAGGCCACTTCTTCCTTCTGCGGGCCAGCAAGTACGCGTCAGGCGACCAGAACGGCTATAGGGGAAGCAATGGCTTGAAGGGAGTGGGCGTCACACCGACG